GTGTGATCTATTTTCCCGCCACTTCAGTTCTGTTTTTTCGGATTCAGCCGCCAACGCAGATGAAGTAGAAAGAGCGGCTTGCAATGTTCCTGAGGGTCTCATCGATTTGCGTACATTTGTGGTTAGCAATATGTATGTCGTTAAAGCTGTTACACACAAAAAAAATCGTTATTAAAATTAAAAAAAGCATCGGTGAAATTAAAAGTTTGCGTTGGTTCTTTTTGGTAGAAAGCGGTTAGCTTTTAAATCGAAAGTTCGTCAACTGTCAGTTTAAAAGTTGCCCGCTCATGACTTTTAAAAGTTTAAACTTTCAAAATAAATTGTTCTACTGTCAAATTAAAAGCGTGGCATGGTTGAAATTAAAAGCGTATTACTCTTAATTCAAAACAAACTTTTGACATGAAAGTACGGTAACTTAAAATGACAATAATTGTTATTTTTAATGCAAATTAAATATTTTTATTTCAAAAGTAGTATATTTAATATAGTAACATCCTTTTAATTAAAAATTACAAATTCATTTATTTCTCTATTTTTTATTCACAATTTGATATCATTGTCTGGTTCCGCACTGCATATTCGTCGGATTGGGTAGGCAGTTTTTTTAGACAGTAGGCTGGTATGGATCGACATTTTTCACTTGAGATCCTTGTAGTACTGATTGAGGGCACTTCTCTCGGCGTCCGTCAGCTAAACCTGCTGCTGCTAGGGCATTCCCGCATAAACGCGAACCATAAATTGACCTTACCTAAAATGGTTAAAAATTGTTTATAATCCCTGCTAAACTTTAACTGAAATGGTTATGGAACTTTACATGAACGTTTAATGATAAAGTTTCAACCTTATGTATTATGGTTTTTTGAAACTGGACCTTACAAATAATGGGTTGTTAAGAACCATTACCATTCCAAATTCTTGTTTTCTCCATACATTTTCAGAAAGAGAACTATATAAGAACGTTTTTACTTATGATTTGAGAACATTAATGGTAATGGTTATGGTAATCAGTAAGGTCCATTAATGGTTTTGTATTATCGCTCAACTTTACGTGGAATATATCGTGAATTGGTAATCAGTAAATTACAGGCAACCAATTCGCGATATATTCCACATAAAGTTGATCGATGTTACAAAACCATTCGTGGACCTTACTGACTACCATAACCATTACCATTAAAGTTCTCAAACCATAAGTTAAAAGGTTCTAATATAGTTCTCTTTCCGAAAATGTATGGAGAAAACAAGAATTTGGAACGGTAATGGTTCTTAACAACCCATTATTTGTAAGGTCCAGTTCCAAAAAACCATAATACATAAGGTTGAAACTTTATCATTAAACGTTCATGTAAAGTTCCATAACCATTTCAGTTAAAGTTTAGCAGGAATTATAAACAATTTTTAACCATTTTAGGTAAGGTCAATTTATGGTTCGCGTTTATGCGGGTTCTCTAACATCTTGCACCACTGTAGGCTACGAAATGTCTCCGATAGACAGTGTATGATTGATGCTCTACTGGTGATTCGCCACTGCCTGAGGATGCCATTTTCCACAAATTACTGGTCCAAGCGTGTTTCTCATCCTACAATTTCAAAAGCAATCAATAAATATTATTTGTTCCACGGAATAGAATTTCAAATTACCGGATTGATTCGCCCGGAAAAGGATCAACGTTCGCCGGATTCCCTCTCGGCTAAATTAATGATACCTGCGTATAAGCAATAATCATGGGTCAGTGGTTCAATTATGCAAATTATCTGATCTCAAAAATTACTTACGGTTTAATAAAAAAAATGCTCTCCCAAACTACAATGTCAAGCAGCTGCAACTGAAATAAAAAAAATCTCTTTTCCGGCCGTATGGCACACACCGCCAGTGCAGAAGTACATGGGTTCTAATTTGCAAGCAGTTACAGCGTTACAGACCAAATCTTCACACTTTCTAGTACAAGTTAAAAAACTGAAGTTTATGTAGCTCCCGTTTTGCGCGTTTTTCTTTTTGTTTGCTCACGCGATCCTAAAACTACTCAAAAATGGGTAGAAATCAACACATGAAAAGTAATTTTGACAGTTAAACAATTTTCAATTTGAAAATCTGCGCTTTTAAAACTACAATTTAAAATTAAAACAATCACTTTTGAATTAAAAACAACCTTGTTGTATCAAACATTTTCGTAGTTAGAATAACGATTTTTTTTATACTTTTAAATTGAAAGGTTAATATTGTTACCGATACAGTTTTTGTTTTTTGTGTGTAGGAAGTTGAAGAAATCTGTTTCACCGGGTCCTGATGGTGTACCTGCAATCATTTTTTGCCGCTGTGTTGCTGTTTTAGCTGATCCCCTAGCTCGCATCTTTACCGCTTCGTTGCACCATTCCTTTATGTTCCCTGTCCATAAGAAGGGCGACAAACGTGACGTGACAAATTATCGTGGCATAACAAGTCTATCTGCAGCTTCAAAATTATTCGAGATCATTGTGAACGATGCTATCTTCTTTCATGTCAAGAGCTACATTTCAGCAACGCAACACGGATTTATGCCAGGACGCTCAGTTACATCAAATTTGCTGGAGTTCACCTCAACATGTATAAATCACTTGGAAAATAGGGCTCAAGTAGATACCGTTTATACCGATCTGAAAGCGGCATTCGATAGCACCGATCATGGTATTCTTCTTCGGAAAATGTCTCGCCTGGGAATTTCGGATGGTTTGGTTGATTGGCTGAAATCATATCTTTCCAACAGAACACTTCGTGTCAAGCTGGGTTCGTGCACTTCATCACCATTTGCTGCAACCTCCGGTGTTCCGCAGGGCAGCAATTTAGGACCATTGCTGTTCACAATCTTCTTCAACGATGTGACGCTCCTCTTGCCGAGTGGTTGTGTGCTCATATACGCCGATGATCTCAAACTATACATTGTTGTCAAGAACGTCGAGGATTGCCGTCAGCTCCAAGCAATGTTAGACCAATTTGTTGATTGGTGCCGCTTAAACAAGCTTTCCGTCAGTATATCAAAATGTGTGGTCATGACATTTAATCGCACAAGAACGCCAATCGTATTCGATTACTCAATTGATGGATTTGTCGAGGGGGGCGACACATCTAAATCTCAATTCTAGATGCTCAAAAAATCTCACACTAGCGAATCAATCTTTGAAAAATCATCTTTCATTTCTCGCATCTACTTACATCGTGCTTCATCTTTTCGCAGGAAATCTTCAAAATCGACATAAATCTTCCTTCTATCTACTCAGCATGCGTGCAGCTAGCCATAGCAAAACACAATCTTTTCTTCATCGTAGATAGAGTCGTCCCCCTCGGGATTTGTACTAGAAAGAGTAGAACAAGTAAGCGACCTAGGTGTAATGCTGGACCCTAAACTTACGTTTGACTTACACCGTTCAATGGTAATCACTAAGGCTAATCGTCAGCTTGGTTTTATATCAAGAATCTCAAGAGACTTTTCGGATCCGTACTGTTTAAAAGCACTGTACTGTTCACTCGTTCGTCCGATTATCGAGACTGCATCTGTTGTTTGGACTCCCTACCAACTTTCCTGGAACATCAGAATAGAACGTATCCAAAAAACATTCATTCGTCGAGCATTAAGACAACTTCCTTGGAGAGATCCACTAAACTTACCTCCGTATGCTGAGAGATGTCGCTTGCTAAGCATGGACACGTTACAACGACGGCGACAAATTCAACAGGCAACATTCGTCGCGAAGTTATTAAGTGGTATAAATTGACTCTACCCACTTACTCTCTTCCTTGAACTTTCGTGCGCCAAGCAGATTGCTACGCTCAACGTTCCTATTGCGTCAAGACTCACACCGCTCTTCTTTTGGACAACATGAACCTGTTATGAGTATGATTCGCACGTTTTCTACAGTTGAAGAGTTGTTCAAGTTTGGGGAACCTGCTGCTCAATTCCAGAGACGTATTATTAACTCCAGATACATTTAGTATTTGTTATGGCTTCTGGTTCATTAAGACTTATAGTCAGATGGATGTATTAAATAAAAATAAAATAAAATAAACTCAATGTCCTTCCCAACTTTTCCTCGCTCTTCGTGACAATTTTGACGTCAAGCCAAATTAAGCGGCAAAACGAGGTTCAGTGCTGCCAAAAACTTTGCCTAGAAATTGTATTGTTGACAGTTGAACAACTTTCATTAAATAAATGCACTTGTAAAATTACAAGTCAATCCTGAAACAAACGCTTTCAAACCAAAAAAATAACTTTTATTTTGAATATTTTCGATGTTAAAATTACGAAATTTAGGAAACTTTTAATTTGAAATGGCACTATTTTTATTGGTGCAATTTTTGTTTTTTGTGTGTCTGGTTAACGGTTGGGTCTTCGAAGCCTAAATCAATATGGACAAAACATTCTCATTTTGGGTTTGAATGTGGTTATCGTATGGTTGGGATTTATGCGGGTGGGTGAGAATACGGATTTGAGGATTAAATCTCGGATTAAGGGGAAGCTCACCGGCCCAAAAATAAAAAAAATATTTTCGGTACGTTTTTATTTTTCTAAAAATATTGGGAAAAATTATCAAAAATCCAAGAAAATCAGTTTCTTCCTTAGATTTTTGTCAAAAATTACATGCAAAAATTTTTTTTCTATCCCATCATGAAAAAAAATTGGACTCTCAGAAAAACCGAAAAGTTGATGTTTTGTGGTTTTTTGAGTCCAACTTTATGCCATAATGACTTATAAAACATGTTTTTGCACGTGAATTTTCTTTAAAAAATTAGAAAAAATGTGATTTTTTTAGATTTTTGATACTTTTTTTCAATATTTTATCAAAACGTATTTTTTTTCGGAGCGGTCTGCTTCCCCTTAAATAGATGTGGGATGAGGATGTGTCGTTCCCCTCGGTTGCATTTTTTCGTGTACAAACGCTTCAACATTCCATACGCGTACCGCATCGGATTAACCGTACTTGACTGTATGATTATCTGTCATGAAATTTGCCGCACCACCACCATCAGGGAGAAGAAAACGGAGAATACAAACCATCAGCGTTTATCAACGCCATTAGTCAAGTTTGCTATTTTCCGGTTAAAATCGTTCAAATTCCTCCAGATTTACAAGTAAAACTGTTTTCAAACCATGTCGAAATGTAAGTACTTCTAGTTGTTCATCGTTTAGCGTCGGTATTGCTCAAGTTTCGTTTCAATTACAGACATCACCGAAGATGACATTCCAGCGGGCTACTCGTCAGAGCTGGACGAGTACGAATCGGAGCACGTCCAGGATTTGCTGTTGGGGGCGGAGCCGTTCGAGATCTATGTCGGCAACACCGGCAAGGTGTCTTTTGAAAAGTTTTTCTCCTTGTTTAAGCCACATGGTATTATCAAGGATATGACTTTTTGGCGGACGCACGACCACTTGTACCATGCGCGGATTGCTTACCGGTCGAAGGACCAGTCGGACAAGGCCATCAAGTTAATGAACAATCGGAAGATCTTTTCCAAACGTATTCGAGTGACGTACGTCAAGGACCGGGTAGAATTGGACTTTCCGGCCGCGATACGGATCGACGATATCAGTGCTGGTGAGAACCTTTTTATGATGGGTGAGGAAGGAATGTCCGTAATAAACGGGGTGGGGTCATTTTTGTTTTACCGTAGATGTTACCGAAGAGGATATTTTCGATCATTTCCTTTCCTGTGGGGACATTCGCTTCGTCATCAAGACCGGATATGCTGCTTACGTCCAGTTTGCCACTTCGCCATCTGCGGCGAGGGCGCTCGGACTGGAAATGATCCTGAATGGGGATCCTTATTCGTTGACCAGGATTTCGGCCGCTGATAGGCGTAGGTCTTGAATGAAATGCTTCTCGTAGAGTGGTGGATAATATTTGTTTTTTTTTTTTCGGTAGTTGATCACATTCAGGTGATAGAGAACATGAAGGACATCAAGTATCGGAAACCGTTTGTGATGGTGGAGAATTATCCGGAGTTGCCGAAGGGGACGCCGCTCTGCCGGTACAAGAGCAATTTCGAGTCCGTTGGGCCGGTGAAGCATTTTAAGATAGCACCGACGACCGGCGGGACGGTTACGTTGGCTCTCTGTATGGATAAGGCGGACGATCGGGATATGGTGATAAATCGATTCAACGATGCCATCATCAGCGATAAGCGATTGAAGCTCTACATGGCTCCGGGTAAAGCCCGGATGACGGTTAAACATGTGACCAAGTATGCCATTTGCAAGAATTCGATTACGGTGGACTCTATTCGTCCGTGTAAGTTGTTATTTGCTTACGTTAGGTTGAAGTTTTGTAATCACAGTGACTGCTTCATGGCTCTTTGACAGATTACAAAGAATACGATGTCTGCATGCTGTTCAGACGATGCGGATCGATAAGCTTTCTGGAAAGGCTCGGAACTAGGTGGATAATCTGCTTTGATAGCCCATCGGCAGTTTCTCTAGCACGTAGCTTTCATGTATTCTCGTTGTACAAAAAAGAACTCGTTATCAAAGAATTAAATCAGCAGACTTTACAAGCCGGGAAGGGTGAAAAACTGGAGGATGCTGGTGAGAAGCTTTTAGCAAATGAGTCTCAATCATCTTGGTTTTAACGTTCTATTTACTTTCCCCTTTTCAGACGCTCATATAAAAGCCCCAGAGGGTTGTATATTTACCGCTGAATCTACAAATCGGATTGATTGTCATTAATTTGTGTTTCCATTTCAGAAAAGAAAAGGACTAATAAATCCAAGCCAGGGCAAATGGACGACTATCTTAAGCAGATTGCAAAGAAAATGGATGAAAACATCAAACAGAACATTTTGCAAACCAGCAAAGTTGCTCCACTTGGTGCGGCTACCAAACATCAAACTTTAGCCAGCCAGGCGAAGCAAATCAAAGCACTATTCAATACTCGGGAAAGTCTTATGGACGTAAAAGTTACTCCGGTGGTGCAGCCGAAACCATCGACTTCGAAGCCGAACAAGCGCCCGGCCAACGATAACGGATCCGATGCGCCATCGGCACGGGCTCGTCAGAATAGTACGAACGACCAAAATCCGTTGATGGAAGGTAAATGAGCTATTGCTTCAACAAGACGTCCTTTCGGAACATTCAAATCATCCCCTTTTCTTCAGACTCCAACGACCTTTCCTGCAAGTTCCTCGTCACAATGAGCAACCTGCCAAAGGGCATCGAAGAGAACGACCTGCGCGAGCTTTTCCGGGACTACGAGATGAAAAGTGTCGCTTTGTTCTGCAGTAAAGATCTCTACTATCCGACATCGACTGCGTACATAAGGCTCACCTCCAAGCAGGACACCAAGGCGGTCATCAGTCACCACCATGACATGTACCGAGGAAAACGGGTCTGCATCCAGCATTTCCAACGGAATTGGGAATTCCTACCCGAGAGAAGTATCATGCTGAAGAATTTACCTAAACGTAATGCCACCTGAAAACCCGCTGGTCTGTTCAAACCTCATAATATACTCTCTTCCAATTTGCAGACGTCACCGAGGAAGGCATCTCGGAAGAGCTGGAAAAACTGCTAGGGCTAAAAGTGGTGGACGTCATCAAGCCCGCGCACAATTATGCGTATGTCGACTTCCCAGAAGAAGTTCAAATCAATAAAATTCTTCTAAATTCGCTTCGAAATGCATTGACGCGTTATCAAATAGACGTATTTCCGCTATACAATAAGCTGCCCAAAATGTGGATGAATATTCGCTCGTTCAAATGCAGACCGCTTGAGAAAATGCGGGCGATATGCGGGGCAGTGATTAAGGAGGAAGCAAAGGATGACGATGAGGAGTTCGGTGTGCACAATGCTCACAAGTGTAAGTATGGAAGCTTCGGTGAGAAACGGCGGTTTTTAATTTTATAAATTGAAGCTGAATTGAACCTGCGGTAAATAATTAAAGCTGTTTAACAAAAGTTGTTCTATCGAGCAGTCCTCATCAAGGAGGAACGTGCCGTGGTGGAACGAAAAGCTAGAATGTCTTGAAAAAACCAATCTCGAAGAAAGCCAAACGAACGTTCTTTTGATCGGTTTCAATATAGAAGAGCCCTAGTCGAATATAATGGAATCAGGAAATCTAAGAGGAGATCATGGACTCAAATTAATGAACTATTCCACGAATGGTTTGGATAATACCCTGAACACGTCGTTAAGCAAAATAACCATACAACATTTATTAGGGAAGTCATTAAAGTATCCGCTAAGCAATTGCCCGAGAACTACATCTTTAAAGAAGCGACTCTAACTGCATGCAGAGCTAAACGGAACGAGTGTAGACAGTCAATTCGTTAAGCAGTAAGTGCCATCCAAATAGACGGTTCGATAACCAGAGACCCCGACAAAATTGCACATGCTATGGGGGAGTACTTCGCAACTCTTTAGGCCCTTGATGGATATGACGACCACTTCCGTCGCACAAAAAACGCGACAATGCATTCGCTGGATAACTTCCACATCCCGGAGGACGATCTACCACCGGAAATTAACCAACTTTTCGTGTCAAGAGTGCATTCGGCTCACGGAAAATTATCTGGCCCGGATGAAGTGGGATACTCCCTGTTAAAAAATTTGTCACTGGAAAGCAAACGTACCCCTCATCAGCCTTCTCAACAGTGATTGGCTAGGAAATATGACTCCGGAAGAATGCAGACACAGTGCTAAGCAGGGAGCTCATGAGCCACGGGATATCAGACCAATCTCCTTGACAGCAAGGTGCTGGAGCGGATGGTCAATCGTAGACTCCATTTTCTGTAGAATTTTCGCCAACATTGTACTTTCAACGGAGGAGCCTGGCGTTCCGCAAGGCTCTGTGATTGCAGTCACGCTGGTTTTAATAAGAATGACAACAGTGGTGGTCGGCACTACCGTGAAGGCTATCCGCAGAAAGTTAAAAGAGACCACGAACGCTGTCCTACAGTAGACTGAATCCTTTGTATTCCACCTTTAGCTGGAGAAATGTGCTTACACTCACATCTGTCCGATGAACCACCATGTACTTCGCACTCCAATCAGCGTTGATGCCCTTCAAGAGGTGTATTCGCATCCTCGGCTTACGACTCGATAGGCATCTAAACTTTGAAAACCACTTTAATTAAGTGAAAAAGTGCTGCCAAACGAGGATTGATTTACTCCGAACACTGGTCAAAAGACACCTTAATGAATAACCGTGCTGTTCGTATGCGAACGGTTTAGATGTAAATTGCCTGTCTGCTGATAGGTCCCTGCACTTTGGTCAGATAGCGTATAGGGCGTCGTTGTGCCAATTTGGTCGTTGCACCTTTCGAGTATGAGAGAGTGATTGCAGTTTGCTCAAAAGTGCCTGAGTAAAATGCAAGTACTTTCGATGATTACCCGTTGTTGTTACAGTGAAGATATACACCCATATTCTCGTTTATGTCTGGACGTGTTGGTCATAAAGAAACATTTTTCTTTGATTTTGTGTGGTGGATGGGTTTCGGGCGTGGACGGGTTAGGATGTTAGGATAAATTGATAAATGTATCGCTTCAGTTTGAGAAGCACTTCACTTTGCAACCGATGAACCATTCTGACGGCCCACATTACCGTGCAGGCGCCGTGTGTTGGCAGGGTCCTATATCGGACAGTTTGATGTATATTTGTATTTTGAGCTTTTTCTCTATACATTCAAGTCTGATTGGATACTCGCCATAGTGAGTGGGTTGGAAGACCCCCTCTCCACATCCGACAGCAGATCCGGAACGACTATGATGAACAAAGGCTGCTGATGGCAGGACTAAGATGGAGGGTTTGGGGGCTTTCTACGGCGCGTTCCGGGTTCCCAGGATAGGGAGTTGCAGAGGCACCGTCACAATGACTAACATAGTCAGAATTGCTGAAAATTGTAACGGCATCAGGCAGTGAATAGTCAATATATTGATTGTACTTGCCTGTAGACTCTTGATTCTTATCCAGCCACAGGTCCAGGACGACTATGCTGAACGCTGGCAGGAGTCGGCACGACTGGACTGGAGGAACCAGAAGCTTCCAAAGAGCGGTCTATTGTGCGTCCCGGAGATAAATTAGGATTGTTACAACAGTAAAGCGGATGATGTGAATGAGCAGTATCAGAAGTGCTTCTCAACAGGAAACAGCCGGCAGATGCTTGAGGCGTTGCACTGGAACACGGAGGCTGATCAGGAAAATTACTGTAACTTGCCTGAAAACGATGGTTGGGAGATGTGAGTGGGCTCAATTTACCCCTCGTCACAAGAGAAGCTCAATTAGGATGTTGGCAACACTCCTCAATAACGTATTGCATTAATACTGGCAACACGTCATCGAGGCCCAGAAGCCAGCAATATCCATTGCATCGCCCTCTTTCGATTGCTGACCGATCTCGAGGTAAGACATGCACTTGTCCGCCCTGCGCCATACGTACGACTCCAGCGTGTTGAGTTATTCCCGTCTAAAGTACAGTGCTCACATTTTGGCGATCCTGCCAGGAGTTCCTGTCCCAAACAAAGGAACAGTATTTAGCTTTGAACGTTGTACGGGATTTGCAGCGTTTCCAAGAAACGCCGCTATCTCAAAGTTCTCAATGAACCTATTCCACTCTTCCCACATTTTGTTTGCGGGAATACCATTCGGGAAGGGTTTAATGTGGTCCCATCTTACAGCGGCCTGAGTAACATCCGTGTAACCGGTGGAATCGTAGGGACCAGCCCAATTGTCGTCAACGTCACGATGCGTCGCGTTGTTTGGTCGTTGATATGCACTCAATGATTTAGTCAAATCGGCAATGACCTTCTGTAATCGCTCGATCTTCTCAACGCTTCCCGATTTCGCTTCCCTTGGTTCTTCGGTCGACGTCCCGATTACCAGGGACCGTCTTGGATCCATACGATCTTCGCTTTCGCTCGACGGTGGTGGTGAATAGACTGATGAATCCGACGTAGTGGAGCATGAGGTCGAACTGGTGCAATCAGAGAGTTGATCATCTTGCTCCTGATCACCCTCACAGTTGAATTCATTCTCGTTCTTCCCTTTAATGGTGTCCTCCAAGTTATGCGACTCATCACGTCCGCTTTCCGAACTGCCTGTAGCACGGACGTACTTTCCTTCGTCCTCCATTCTGATTTTAGGGGTTACCCGTGCTTCTCGCCGAATCGTTTCGTAACTGTAACCTGTAATTTGCAATCATCACAATGTTAAAATCTATGGACTAGAAAAGGAGACGATTTGCAAAATCTGTCAGGGTAGCTCTATGAAATTCAGGTACAGAGTGTTATGTGCCATGCGTATGTGACTGTGGAATCATTTGCATTCCTAAAACAATTTTAGCCGGATTTAGACTAAGCAAGTGAGTTGGATTCTAAGCATCCCGATTTTTTTTCGTTCGGTCAACACGAACCGATAAGTTTGATAATACTCTGGAGTTCTTTCGACCCACCCAGGATTTTTATTATCGTGACCTCCGTGGTCCCCCAGCGAGGGTAGAACAAATCAACTTGACAATACGATTTTCCCATATCGTAAAATCCTATTTTTTTTAACGTGATTGTACCCTGGCGTCATCCCGACCAATCCAGAACTTTTTCGTGACCTCCGCGGCCTCCCAACGAGGGTAAAACTAGTCAACTAACTGACAATACGATTTTCCCAAATCGTAAAACGGCGCTTCTTTGTTCCATTGGCCATATTGCACCTACTGTGCCAGAACATTTAATTGTTTTAGGTTACCTCCGCGGCCTTTCATTTATTGAGAAGAGATTCTCTTCCTTCTTTTTTTTTTCGTTCGGTCAACCCGACTCGCATAACACGTGCTGTTTTTTTTCAGTAAAGTTCATTTTCCATTGAATTATTCCCGTCATGAGCAGGTCAGATTTTCTAATATTATTTGTGCCAGGTTCCTGCCAGTCCAATTATCCAGAATTGTACTCCTGGCAGGATCGCCACTTACCAACACCTTCAAACGAATCTAATTTTTCTTGACAGAAGTGCTGAATCACTGAGTACAGAGAGAGGTGAAGCAGATCGTGAAATATGGTTGTATTAGTAAACCAAAAAAATCAACGTAAACGCAAGTAGTGACGTCACTAATTGCTTGTATCGTACAGGGGTTTTACTTACACAACTTAAACGATTGCTGCTTCACCTCGGTAATCCAGCTCATTGGTGCTGAATAGCTGAATGACATTTGATTCTTGCACGGGAGTTTGAACAGGGTTCAGTCTACACGCTTAAATAAAACAACGTATCTGAAAAGTTTAAAGAATTCAAATTTGGGAAAACCATCGTTTTGTCGGTAAAAATATACATAGGGGAAATGGATGTAATGTCGGCCTAAATGCTTCTGATTTGGGCCCATACATAAATTCAGCAATCGTCTAAATTTTCATTAGCGACCAAAAATATCCATTAGTACCGTCCCAATGACGCGTTCATCTAGATAAAATTGATAAACAGCAGATTTTTAGCGATGGGCCCAATCTTAGATCGATAGGCCAACATTAGAGCCATTTCCATTATATACACGAAACGAAAATCAATTATTTTATTCATGTGTTTCACTTATGCATTTTTTCCAAAACATCAGCCTTATACATTCCATAAGACAAATCACATAGGTCCTATAAGAATGTATAAAAGGTATGTGTGACCTCTTATACATCTCATTTGACACATGATCTTCATTAACTTTTTGCAAGGCGTCTGCTTATAAGTTGACTTATACATTTTATGAATAATCAGCAATGGAAATTTGCCAAAAGGTATAAGGAGATTTCTATCAGTGTATATATTTTAATTATAATGCATTAATACTGGCAGCACGCCATCGAGGCCCAGAAGCCAGCAATATC